CTAAAACGACTCAGATACAAATTTTGTGAACCTCTAAAGGGATCGACAATTTGTATAGTAGAACTAAACTATTTAGTGCTAAAAGTGTGAAATATTTATGGATATTTCACTAGTTTTCAACCGCAAATTTTTAATACCAGGAGCAGTTCGAAAATTCAAACCACGCGCGAACGTACCGCAAGGTTTTCGTCAACCGAGCGTCCAGATTTTTGCTCCAGCGGAAATTACGTTTTTCCGGAGCTTCGACTTCTTTTCGACCGTTTGACCACAGCCGATTTCTTCGTTCTGAACAGCCTCCCTTATGGGGTCCGTATCTGAAAGGGGACGTTAGTTGAGAATAAACAGCATGGAACAGCTACTCTCAATAGTAGGCATTTTACCAAATCTCAGGATAGAGGCTGATCCAGACCCCATCTAATTACTTTGTGAACTCATCGACTGTCCTACAGTTTAGTAGTGAAGATGGTAGTTGGTTCGGCTCATCCATTACTCTACTCGTGAACAAGTTGTGTCTAAGGTTGAGTCGGCTCCTGGGCTTCATTAGCTTCAGATGATGCCCCCTTGTTGACTCGAGTGGTTCCCGGGTAAACAGGCTGTCCGCCTCGAGCCCAGTCAGCCCCTTCATTATTTTGAAGATCTCAATAATGTCACTTCTCAGGCAACCTTCGTGGTCCGGGTCGGAGAAGCGAACACTCCAATGAAAACCATTGCAAGTGGTGTTCCTCGGAGATCACTTCTAGGTGCACTCCTATTCTTGCTCTATATCAATGATCTGCCTAGACGCCTAGGTTTGCCTATATATTCGCGGATGTAGGATCAAATGGGAGAGTGGATATAGGGAGGGACATACGAGAAGTGCTGAAGTGGTCAAGTACATAGGATCTGCTTCTCGCCATAGAAATGTGTCATGGCTAGACCACTGGAGACGAGGGGCTGATAGTGGGGAGTAATCACGGCGGTGGTTCACTAGAAACGACGCATAAGCTAGAAATTTAGGAGTCTTCATCTTCATCTTCGTGCTGAGAAGGCAGAGGGGCCGCGCCCCGTATGGGCCTCTTCACCGCCGGTACCAATAACAACCCACTCATTGGTCTGCAAGCTGCCATCATCTCACCGATTGCTCGTCCAGACGGCGTTTGAAACGCGCCTCGTTCTGCTCCCCCACCACCTCCAACGGGAGTGAATTCCAGAGGGAAGTCGCCCTCCGGGAAAGGCGATAGACCAGAGGAAGCCCCCTTGACTCAAGCTTCCGGAGGGTGAGCCTGTGACCGCGCGTCCGGTTGCAAGCTCGCAGTGGAAGCAGACTACAAACGGGCAGAACAGTATGCTGCAGCGATTTGAAGCTAACCGGCGTTCATGGCCTGTCGGTAAGTCTTCTTATGAGTCTCAAAATGCGCGCGACCTCCTAGTGTCTCGTCGCCCGAGTTAGACAAAAACACTCGTGGGAGTCGTAAACGTTTATTGGACAATCGTGGTACTAGATAGTACCGGTACGTGCCGAGGTGACGCTAAACAATACAAGTAATAAATGCAGTAGCAAAGAGAAAGCGTGTCACACGTGTTGCGTGGGTTTGAACAGGACCCAGCATATATATACACCTGAGCGGAAAACCGTGCTCGGTAAAACATACAGAAGTAAAACAAAGAAATATCACAGCTGGAGTCAGAGTTGATTGTGAAGAAAATATGAACAGAAAACGTCCTTGTGGATTGCTCCTTTTCTTTGTACAATCATGGTCACTACAGCAGCCCCCGCTAAAATGCAAGCAAAAGCTTTCGATTCAGAAACGAGTTTTAAAAGCAAGTAATCATTAGCGTGTGACCGAGCTGCAACATATGGACTGGCAGAATCGTTGGTTTGTTTGAACTGTTTTGCGTCAGTCGAACATCAACCAGATTCGTTGCTTCAGATGTCAGCATGGGAATCATAGTGACGTATCCTCAATCGGTCATTGGATGATTCACACCATCCGAATCATTAGTTGCATCATGGTGTCAGGCGGCTCTCGTCTTTTCCAGTGTCCGTGATCGTTGGCGTGCTAGAATGAAAGAAGACCATTTGTTGTTCATGTATGCAACCGTAGAAACGTAAATCGTCTCCAACAAGCTC